GATTATTTTAATGCACAGGACTGTATGAATCCCATAATTCTATAGTTGTCAACTAACTAATTCCTTAAACACAAAGAGCATTACTGAATGCTCTGAATTGCTGCTGTTTTGCAGAGAAAACAACATTTATTTAACTTATCTTGCTGTGAAATTTCTGAGTAAGTTTCATCTAGTCGCAAGTGAAATAATTGTTGATGGAGCCTTTTGCTTTTTTTGAGGGTGGTTTGTTTCCTTTTTAATTCTTCTGGTTCCTGGTTATATTGCTCCCCCACAGTCCTGACATAACAAGTACAAGCTTGGCAGCAAAACTATGATAGATTTTATTCGGTGGTCTGATGCTGCCTCTCTCCCTTTCATGAGAAGCAAAGGTAAATCTCATCTTAGCACTGTGAAAACAAAATTTCAAGACTTATTACAGTGGTATTCATATTTAAATTTACACAAGCTATGGTATATACCTGAAATGCATTTTAATATGCCCAAGGAATAGATTCAGTCCTGGAAAGTTCATTGTTGCTTCTAATTGTCAGTGACTGCTACACTTTGCTTGCCCGCAGCTATCCAATTAACATATCACCACTACAGAAAATATTCTAATATGCTCAATGTCCTAACAACAAGTCTCACACTCCACTTCTATACAACAATCTCCTCCTAATTTCCAATAAATTAGCAAATATCAGCAAAGAGCATAGGCAGATATGCCATCAGATAACGCAGCCTGCAAGCACCTTTTTTATTGCTGTGCAAAGTTCTTGTGGAGATATTCCTGGTAGTTTAGAATATCACGAGAGACACGGAGAGAGAGAAGGAAAGCTCAACTCCAGAAGTGGAAAACATGTAACTTGTGCCCTGAGAGATCGCTATGGCAACATTTAAACAATGAACAGAAAGCCCTGCAGGATTCTGCTCTCGCTTCCTTGGATACCAAATGTAAATCCTGATTCTCTTTTATTGTGTGCATGCACAAGCGTCTGATTTTTGCCTTTTGCACTAACATATAGCAAAGTATCCAGGCCCCCTACCAGGAACTATGCATTAATTCACTTCCATGTATTGCAGCTTGTGAATGTGCAACTGAAACACACCAGTGGCATAATCATCTCAACTCTTGTGTGCCCATTCCTACCCCTTAGGAGAAAAAAAGTGGCCATGACAGTACACTTAAATAACAGGTACCCTTTTTTATTTTGCAGAATAAAATCATTAAATAAACCACTCTAAATTGTCACAAGCCAATCCCCAATGTCTTCTGCCATGACAGGAGGCAGGATCCTTTCCAAGGGCTACTCCTTCTCCAAGCTGCTAGACTCGAGCATGCTGCAAGCCTGCCTTCCAGATCAGTATGGCTACTGCTATTCCTAAATCCTTCTCATCTGGGCTATCCTGTGGGGCTGCAGGAGGCTTGTTTTTCCTTATGATTTTCATACAGCAGCTGGCAATGGGATGAAAGGCCCCTGAGAATGCTAACCCAAAATTCAGTCAGCTTCACTATTCTAGAAAATACTTAGTACGTGCCAATTGCATATCTTTAAAGTAATTTTCATCCCAGACTGAAAACAGCATTAATTCCAGCACCCTTCCCTCTCTCCTTGTTCCCTCACTAGCAATCAGAAACAAAAGCCTATCCCCAAGCCAACACGAAGCCACTCTGGCTAGACCGAGACGGAGGCTCTCTCATGCTGCTGCTGCTGTGCACAGTGCACTCCTTCAGTGAATAGACTGCAACTTGGATAGCCTGGCTTGGGATTTTGCACCAGCACCAAGCTCTCTAAAAAAGTGCTAAAATCCTGCCCTGAGCCCCATCCAAAATCTTCCTTCCTCATACTGCAAGAGGAAGAATCTTCATGCCAAATGGGAGACAGCTTTTTAGGTCACAGGCAAATAATCTGAAAGCTTACATATATAGGGAGCCATAGCAACACCTCTGGAATCCCTTTGTTTTTCTCCAGTCCCACACAATTGCTTGTATTGGCTCACATCTACAGCATTTTTTCTTGGGTCTCACCTAATCTGAAATCCCATTTTTCACTTGTCAGAGGTATCAGGCTGGGAGATATTGTGACACAATTTGCCGCTCCAGCAAACTGAACCTGCTTCAATTCTAGATCAGTACAAATCATTCCTGACATGAGGAAAGACACAGACCAGCCACCCCCTTGCATTAATAACTTACGCTTTGCCTGAAGTTTGAGGTATGTGATCTCTGACCTTCTGGAAAGCAATCACACCAAACATATCAGGACCTTCCAATGCAGCTTTATCTTTCCTCCTGTACAAGCATCTAGTGCCTAAATATACACATAATGGCTCCCTGTACAGTGCCAAAATCCCAGCTGCCTGGGGTCAGTACCAAAAATACCAGCCATGGTTTGAAGAGGAGACAGCCTTAAGGACCAACATATGCCACTGAATGACACACCTGTGCTCAGACACCTGGGAGGGAAGTAGCGGACACAGCCAGCTCCAGACTCTGAGTGTTGCTTCTCACATAGCTGGATGTTTGGATGAATGTTTATTATTGACTGTTTACTTTATGATCAGCCCTTTGGGCTCTGGATAAGCCTCATCACAAATTCCAAGAAATGCTATACTCATTCCCACTTTGTTATTGAATGAGTTAAACTCTGGGTTGTTCCATGTGTCTTTTGGCTACTGTATTAAGTGAATGATTCACTGAAGTGTGAAACTGTTGCCTCTTTGGAAGCAGACACACATCCCTAGCTTTTTAATGTTGACAAGGTTTGCCTATTTCAGCCCAAACTGGTGACTAAAATTTCCCAGTGCTTCCTTATCACGTCAAGAAAATACTCCTGCTAGTTATTGTGCAAAATGAATGGGGCACCTATGACAGCTTTCTATCGTCCAAAACTGGAGCTGCTCTATCAAATTTTCTGTTTATGTGTTCACTTGACAGCAATCCAGGGAAAAGCTTGGAGATGCCTTTTCCTTTGCCAGCTTCTTTTTTCCTTCAGTAATTACTGAGCAGCAGCTTAACATAAATTTAGCTTTTCTATTACAGCAACTGCTGATGTAAGTGTAGCCCACAACAGGACACAGACTTACCATGATACATGAAGGAACAAACAAGAGAGAATTTTGCACTTTTTTCAGTTGCTGACAAACTTATTACCCATTTAGTGTCCCACCAGAAAACATGGGTCCAGAGGAAAAAGAAAAAGGAGGCTAAAGCACTTCACACTAAAACAATTTAGCTATATTGAGAAAGATGAAAGTAATTGGAGGTGGAAGGAACAATTTTTGCTGTGCCCGCTTCCTTCTATTTCTGAACACAACTGCACAAAGGGTCTGATTTGTTCGCGTGGCCAAACAAAAACTCCCAGAGATTTCCTTAAGAGCAGACTTGCTCCTATCTTAATCCTTTTCAAGTAGCCAATGTTTAAGAGGCATGACCTCCAAACAGAAGCACATGGGACACATTTGAGAGGCAGAAGTTCTCATTTCTATTCAGGACATTTACATGAAGTCACAGTAGTGATATAAGTGAATGAAGGGGAAAAAGGGAGGAGGCTAATAATGGTTTATGCATTTATCCGGGGAAATTACAGCTTTGTTTTGTGTTGTTTCATACAGGCAGCTTGTGAAGTGAGAAATGCTGCCAAAAATTAAGAACTAAAATCTGGATCTACCAACACTTCTTTCCTTCCTGAATGCTCTCCCCTTCACCAGAATATTGCTGCTAGGGAAGAGTGGCAAAGCTAGTTCTGCACCTTGCTTGCCAAAAAAACCAATAAAACCCCATGTCTATTCAATGGCTCATTTAATTAGCTGTTTCTTCCTCTCATTCTGCACCAGTTTTGGCCTAATACCTTCAGCTGGAGCCTTAACATGTGAAGGCCGAGGTTGAAGAGGGCAAAGGTGAGGGAGGACAGAAAGGAAAGAAAGAAGAGCCTCTACCCACGAGCTATGCAGTCATGCCAGGTGAGGGGACGGAAGTAGCGCTCTTCCCCACAGGAAAACATGGACCTCTATTTTAAACATCATGTTATCCTCCCTTTATTCCACACTCCCACACGACATTTCTCCAGGAAGGGAGAAATATTTACTGGTCTGTTACACATTATTGCTAATTTGTGAACCCCAGCATTTACAAGCCACTTTTTAATTATTTTCATTACCACCATAATAATAATAATAATAAAAAAGTCTCCTGACACCTTAGAGTCCTCTCACTGCTTGTCAATCCAAGTAAATCTCTTTCAACTGCCATGCAAGTCCACGGGGACCCTGAAGGATTCACCACAAAACCACAAAGAATTTCCTAGGAGATCCGGAGGGCATGGGTGGCCAGTACAGCAGTTCCCTAAACTCCTCTTCAATAGAAGAATGCCCTCTCTCTGCCTGTTACTGTCCTTTCTTAGCAGTAGAGTGTAAAACATATAATTTCTCTCACAGCTGCATCCTCAAAATCCATTAAAAGCCCCTGCCCCACACGCCCCACTCCCGCCAAAAGTCATCCTTCACCTCCCTGCTTGATTATAAAATGTTCCTGTTAATACACCATATTGATCTGCAATGTCAGACTGGATACCTGCATTCAAATTAGAGCCTTGAACTATTTAAACACTTAGTAAACAAATAAATCTCCTCTGTGCACCTAATTCCATGCAACTTGCATCCGTTTGTAGAGACCGGGCAATCAGGCAGCATTCCCCCCCCCCCTCCCCGCAAGGGCTTTCTCAAAAGATTTCTTAGCTAGTGAACATTTACAAATGCTACAGAGACACACGGGCAGGTGTCTGCAACACCCTACCAAGGCTCGAGTTTTAGGAATTTGAGCTACTGTGATAATTCAGTTCTAGCCTCATTCCTTCCCTTCTCCCTTCCCAACCCCCCCCTCCAGCCATTATCAAAATACAGCCAGGTTCTTTATGCAGGTGGGGGGAAAGACCGAGAAAAGAGGCATAAGGGTGAAAGAAGAGAGGCAATGGGGGCACATTTCCTTTTCCAAAAAATAATAAAATGGAAAGTGTACTCACTGTATCCTCAAAGACTATCCAGCTGGAAATCCGAGTGATTATGAAAAACCAGGGTGGGGGAGGGGTTAGAAAACTATTTCATTTCAGCAACCAAACCAAAATTAAAAACAAGAAAGAAAATTAAAGAAAAAGGATATCCAATTGCAATTTCCCAGCAATTTCACTCCATACAGGTGCCAATCCAACCCAACACTGCTGAACTCTCCCCCTCTGGCAATTTTTTTTCTTCTTCTCTGTCCTTTATTTTCTCTGTGGCTTTCAACTTTTCTGCTTAAAATTTCTGTAGTGGTAATGTCGATGGTTACCTTCACTGAAGAACAGTGGCTTAAAATAACAGGAAAAAAACAAAAATCCTTGAGGAGGATGAATGGTCCTTTTCCTTTCTGAAACTTTTCATTCCACTGTGGATTGTTTGCCTAGTTTCCTTTTTTTGAGGTTTTCTGCCTCTCTGGCTCCACTGCTCCCCATTGCTCTCTATTTGCTTTTTCTCTGGAGAGCAGAAATAACTGTATTTCCTTTTAAGCAATCCTCCATCTGTATTCTTTTAATGTAATTTTGTTGTGATACTTAAGATCCAGGTCTTGCCAGGCAATTTTCTTTTTCCCCCTTCTTTGCTGCACTATCAATTATCCAATCCATGTGTCTCCACATTAGAATGGGGATTCCCATTCTTCTTTTCCTCTATACCCTCACACTCCTTTAGAAAAGAATCTCCTTTTGCATTGAAATTTTTATTCCTGTCTGTCAAAACAATAAACTTTTAGTCTCTCTCCCCCCTCTCCAAAGATCTGATTAGATTTCCAATCACAACCCAGTGCGCAATTGGATTTTTGATTTCGGCAAGAAGCCAGCAATCCACAGCATCAGCACCCTCTCCTTGTTTCAAACTCCACGTTATATCCTTTTGCCTTTCCTCCAACTCCTCTGCATTTTCATAATTTCACATTAAATTAAATGAAGGAGGGAGGGAGTAGAGAAAAATTCAAGGTTCCCACCAGCTGTCAAGAATAAATCCATCACCTCGTTATTTTTTAAACACTTGGGATGGGTATTTTTAACGCCCACTCTCGCCTCCCCCCCACCCCCCCGCTTCTCAAAATCCTTCAGACGTTAAAACTCCACCGATGGGGCACGAAGAAACCCGAGAATATGTGATTTGTCCTCTCAGCTGTAAATTTCAGAAGCACACTTTGCTTTTCATTTTAGCTTCCTCTCCATCTTTTGTCCAGCAGCTATACGAATCCAGAAGCAGCGAGACGGATAAACTTCTATTTCTTCTTTGAGGAGAGAAGGAAAGAGAGACAGGAAGAGGGATAAAAGCTCTCCCGTCTCTGCCTCCCTTTTCCTCCCTTTCTGTGTTTCAATGCAGGTCTGATCTCATTTCCAAGCTGAGCCCGGTATATTTCAGATGTACAAGTTGGATTTCCCTTCTGCACAGCAGTGAGTTAGTCTCCCATCTTCTTCCACATGCCTGTTATCTTCCCCCTTTTCTTCCTTCCTTCCTGCCTCCCTCCCTTCCAAGATGACACAGTCCCAGGAGCGCAGCCGCTTCTTTCAGCTTTTAGTTTCATCCCTGACATGCATAGCCCTTTGCACAGCCGAAACGCTTCCTTCCTCCTATGAGCTGCAGCTTGAATTCTGCCCGTGTGTGCATGTAGGGACGCATGGATGTGTAAATCCAGTTCCTGACAGCTGCTGCTGTTGCTGGGAGTAGCTCCGCTTTTCAGTCGCTCTGGCTTTCTGTTACTCCCCACCTTTCAGTGGCACCCTAGGATTTGCAAATGTCCCAGGGCCGGTCTCTCTAGCTACACCCCTCCTTCTCCCCTTCCGTTCTCTCCCTTCTTCCTCTCTTGCAGCTTATTTTACTATTATTTTTTTTTTCTTTACCCCCTCTCTCCTCTTCTTCTCTTCCCCCCCCCCTTCCCTTTTTCTTTGCTTGTGATCAGTAAAATACAATTACCCAATTACCTCCCATCATCTTAGCACTGATTGGTCAATTGCATTAACACTTGATGTCAGGGAAGGGGGCCGGGAGCTGCTCCGACGTGGCATTGCTGCCACCTGCTTGACAGACTGGGAACAAACTCAGGGTTACCTTCAGAAATCTCCAAGTCGGAGTAATTGAAAAACAAGGGATCATCTTAAGGAAAGGAATGTCAAAACTCATTTTCTTAAAAGCCTGCCTGATTCTGACAGTTCAACCAGTATTCGCAGGTTCCAGCCTAGCTGCTGAGGCAGGGTGAATGACAGCAAAATGAAACGGTGTATAAAGTTGTCTTTGCAAAAGAAGTACAGGGTAACCAATATTCACAGGTACCAGCTCTGGCCACAGATGCGGAGGAACGATAATAATATGAAACAAGGTATAAAGTTATCTTTGCAAAAACTAAAACAGTGAATACAATTTGCATTGAAAGACAATCTGTTTGCCAATTAGAGAAATCAGTGTTTAAAATTTGTATGCACATACAAATTACCTAAAGCTCCACTTCGGCCGTTTTCCAAGGGCAAAAGCCCTTTGAACAGCTTCAAGGTTTCAGTGAGAAGTCCTACCTTCAGTAAGCTGTGACAGCAATGCAACAATGCAATGTCTAGGCTTGCCTATCAAATCTGGCACAGTTTGATTAGAATGACTTCTGACATGCAGCTTGGAGTTTTCTGAACCAGCTCCCCAACCTGGGTTCCTGAAGTACTGACTTGTTTGTTATACCTTATGTGTGTTACCTAAAGTGCTCAGAATTGGGCTTGCATCTTGTTTCTCTTGAGGATCTAAGTTCAATGGAAATATTACAGAAAATTTTGCACACATGAGGTCAAACACATTACTCGCTTCATAGAAACTGAATATGGATGATGTATGTGCTGGCATTTGTCTCTCTCAAAATCAGAAAGATATTATTTATAGATCTAACTCCTCCACGCAACCCCCAAAAAAGAATAAGTCAGGTGCTTCAATGGTAATTATAGCAAACTTCAAATATTAAGCAGTAACACTGAGTTATTCCATGCATATAGTAATATAATGAGCTCTTTACTCAGTCCTCTCCCAAATAGTCAAGATATGTTTGGTGTCCTTACTAAGGCTTCAGCTTTTATGTGAAACTGACATACTTGAAAATAAAACAAAGTTTAAGTTCCATGTCATATTAGAAGTTTTTCCAGAACTATAAAATCCATAAGCTAGCTGAATCCAGTCAAGTAACACTTACTGAATCATTAACATTGACTTTCAGATTTATTCTACTGACTCAACAAGCTTTCTGGTGAGAAGGTCCTACTAGATATAAGTTAAGCAGCTGGAACCAGGTGCATTTAGTATCTGATCTTTCTATCCCTGAAATCAGTGGCAAACACAAATTACCTGCAATGGGTAAAAGGCTGAGTGTGTAGCAATAATAAATAACTCAAACCTAACCATCTTTTTGAAACCATCTTTCAAAAATGCTAAAAAAGTCTCTGGGTTTTTTGGGGGAAGGTCGTGAGTGTGGTAGGAGATGAAGTTGCTGACAAGCAACAATCTTTTTCTCAGTTGGTGAGCTTATTTTGTTCCTGTCTGATTCACTGATGCTGCTGGAGTATTTTGGGTCTACAAACATCTTATGAGAGTCTTTTTCTTTTTACTACTCAAAATCTGAAAAACACAAGGTTGTTTCTTTTCCCAGAAGAATAAAAACATCACAGTCTAATCTGTTTCTTAAACTGATTTTTTCAAAAAGTTCCTGAAAAATTTCCTGCTATTAAAGAATCTGTGAGTGAAAGGGAAGGTTTCTATAACTGAATTAAACAAATATAAAGGTGTCAGGTGCAGAAGATACACAATTTTGGGCATCCAATCATAATCTAAGTCACAAACATCTGCTATTGCTATGGTATCTCTCTTGATACAAAGTGATATTTATGGTAGAAATGTGCACATTTTCAACTGACATAAAAATACACATTTCTAACAGATAACTGCTTAAATAGATTAAATATCTCTCTATATACAAAGATATTTGCTGGCATACATGTAACTAAATTAAAAATGTAACAAAACTGCAACACGCTCTAGGCTATGATATGATCTCTCTTAAAGTTTGTTATCTTTAATACATCAATTAGGCTTTATCACCTAATAAACATAGAAGATAGTGTGATTAGCTTCTTAGAACATAACTTTATAACAATCTAGTTTGCAATATTTATAGGATGACATTCCACGATACATGAACTAAATATCCTTATACTACAAGAATTAAAAAAAATAGAATTGCATTATATGTTTTACTAGCATATATCTCATGTGCATGTGAAACCTGTTTTAAACAAATATTTTGGTAGCATTACAATAACTCATTCCTTTATCAAATGTTAAAAGGCTATCATGAACTCTGGAAAGAACAGTTACATTTTTTATTGTTTGTATACTGCCTTCAAACTTGCCCAAACCTGAGTATGGAAGGATAACAAAACTCAAGTGTATGTACTGGCAAACCTTCACATCATAAACAGGAACCACAGGTTGTTACAAAGATTGTTATATACATTGTTTTCCTTTCCAACAGACAAGGCCAGTTATAGAAGTCTCTCTGTATGACTAACACTGGAAGAGACCAGTGGAAAAGGCCAAATATTCACAATGCTCAGAAACATGGCTAAAGCCTAAGAGAAAAGGATTATGACCCTAAACAAAGGAGAAGAGGAACACTATAACTGAATAAGCATAACCGAATTTTGAGGAAAAAAACAGTAAAACCAGACTGCTTTACTTAGACAAACTGAAAGCAATTGCAACATTTTCCTAAGTCAGTTGACAGCCCTGCCTTCCTTCTAAATAAAAATGAGGAAATCATAAAGAAAACTGTGGAACACAATATTCTTTCTATTTTATTTAGCTTTGCTGACGAGAATCTCTTTGCATATGGAGAGAGTACTTGAATTCTCTTATAGCTTACTACTTTCAAAAGGAAATAAAAATTGCTGACAAACATACTTTTGATTGCACAGATCTAGGATCAAGCTCATTAATCAATTTATGAATTCAATTGAGATGCTGAAACTCTCAGACTGTATAAAATACATCATCTATTATCTAACAGGAA